CATTCTAGTTTTCATCCTGTTTCATTAGTATTTTAAGAACATCAGTTGACTTCCCTTTCCTGTTCTTGAAGAATACTTGAATGTCAGGGGGCCTTGGGGTTGGGGGGCTCAGCCACTGCCTGTCCCCAAGTCTTGGACAATGGTTGCAGTCTGGGGGCTGAGGCCTGCCTGGCCACCTGAATCTGTGGACCGGCCTTTCCACAGACCCCAGGGTGGGCAGCCACCCCCACCTCCATCATTTCTTGCCTATTAGTGATTCCATGTGTCACGCCTGGGGGTTCTGCCTTTCTGTAACAATGGGCCTCACTGGCTGCAGGCGGTGTGGTCAGTTCAGCCTGGAAAGCTGTGAGCAGCGTTTTCTTCTCAAAGATGGGACAGCTACTCACTCTTCCCCCATCAGATCTCCGGTGCAACCAGGAGGCTGGCCAGAACCGTCACTGTGAATGAGGGCCTGGGTCCAGGGCGTCCCAGGCTGCGAGGCTGCTCTAGTGCTGAGGGAAGGGGGAATGGCAGTGTTTCCATGTTAATATAGAAAAAAAAGACAATTTTCTTTAAAAGTGGGGGAAAGACATCCAAGCACTTTAACTCCACTGTACCAGGTAAACTGATACAGCTCAAAAGTTTTCCTTGACACCAACTGTCAATGCCGGAATTTTGTATTCTGTTTTATAAGGATTTAATAAAACTTAAAAACTCAGTCTGGTTTTCTGTTGCTGCACAACAAGCTGCCCCAGACCTAGTGGCCTTAAGCCATTCAGTGACAATGGTGCTGTGACCTAGGAATTCGGGCAGGGCATGTGGGGTTGGCTTGTCTGGGGATCCGTGAGGGTGGGGAGAGGCTGTCCTTGAGTGACCCATCCGTGTTGGCCCCGGGAGCCCCCTCTGTGACAGGCTCTCGGTGGGCATCATGTTCGAGGCTCGTGCACATTCGTGCCTGCCTGTGCTTTAATGCTGTTCGTGGCTGAGTAATGCTCCAGGGTCCGGATGGAGCACATTGTGTTTATTCATCTGTCCGTGCTACCAGGTTTGGCCACAGTGAACTGTGCTGCAGTGGACATGTGCACAGGTTTCCATTTGTGGAAACAGATGGAAAACATTTCACATGTGGATGTGTTCATTTCTCCGGGGTGGACACACGGGAGGGATGTGAGCAGGGCAGCGACCCGATCCCATGTGGAGTGTGGATGGGGTCAGAAGGACCCAATAAACCATTGTCACCCTTGAAGCCAGTCAGATGAGAGATGACAAGCCTGGTGGGGACGGTGCCCAGTAGACCACACAATGGCAAACACCAGGCATGGTGAGGAGGTGACTGGCCAGCATCTGGGGACAGCCTGGACGCGGGGTGAGAAGGGGGCGCTCTGGCTGTCTGGAGAGAAGGCACGCTGGCAAGGTACGGACACTAGGGATCCCTGCGACATGAGGTGCAGTAGATCACCCCTCCTGTGGAGAAACCTGAGATCAGCAGGTGGCACACCTACTTGGCCCTTCAGTAGGAAACCTGGACACTCTTGAGCCTGTGCCCTGCCCCCTGCATTAATTTGCTCAGCTACCTCCTAGCCCAGGGGTGGGTAAACTTTTTGACTCGAGGGCCACAATGGGTTCTTAAACTGGACCGGAGGCCGGAACAAAAGCATGGATGGAGTGTTTGTGTGCACTAATATAAATTCAACGTAAACATCATTACATAAAAGGGTACGGTCTTTTTTTTTTTTTTTTTTAGTTTTATTCATTTCAAACAGGCCGGATCTGGCCTGCGGGCCGTAGTTTGCCCACGGCTGTCCTAGACCCTTCCTCTCAGACCCCACAGCTACCCTCTCCTGAGCCAGGCAACCACCAGCCCTTCCAGGGCGACAGCCCAGCCTGGTCTCCTGGCCCCCACCAGTCCCCATTGGTCCCATCTCAGTTCTCCCAGGCCCCTCCCGTGTCCCTTTCCCAGCCTGGCATAGGTGTGTGGGCAGGGAGGGGTGGCTGCTACATGCCACGCCACCACCCTCTTAGGTGGCACAGAGCCCTGCCCAGCCCCACCAGGCCATGCCAATGACCGCTCCCTGCCCTCTGTCGCCTGCCAAGTCCTGCAGCCAGGCACAGCCTGTTCTCTGAGCCTCTGCTGTGGGTTGTATTTTGGTGGTTTCTTCTCGGTAGATCCCACCCTTCCACCTCTCTTCCGGGAGCAGCAGGAAAATCCCGGAACTGGAGCCGCTGGGAGCCTTTCCCAGGCTGGTGACGGGCTGCCCTGTCTCCTGGGCCCAGGCTCCACCTGGGTAAATGGAGATGCCAGCGTGGGCTCCCCAGCTGCCCCCAGGCACTGGCCTCACATGTCCCTGCACAGAACCGTCAAAATCACACCTGTGACAGGAAGCTGCTCCACACTCCCCTGGACAAGACAGTGGCAATGCTGATGTTCGATGCTAATAATAGGAGGAGCAGGGGGGGCTATGGGAACTGTTTACACTAATGGCACAGTTTTCCTGGAAACCTAATGCTTTTTTTAGCTCTTGTTCAAGATACATGTCATGACTCAGCTGAGAAGGACTGAAGAGGTAAGACCGTGATCCAGAGCTCAGCCCCAGACCTGGTCCGGACGAGACGAGGGCCTCATCTGCTGCTTTTTACAGGATACTGCCCTGGAACTTGAGTCGGGGACCTGCTGGTAGGAAGAAAACACGACCAGCGGAGTCGCACTTCTCTGTTCTCTGGATTTTGTCTGACCTCGGGCAGTCTGGAGATTGGAAGGAGCCCTACCCATCGGAGCCTTTCTCTATACGACAAGACAGTATACAACTGGGAGTCCAGAGAGCAGCCCCGACCAGGGGCAGAGCTGGGGTTTTAAAAGCTGAAACCACATCCTGATAGACAACCGTGCAGGGCAAGCAACAACATGCCCTCCATGTTTGAGAAAATTACCAAGAAATTGGTCAAAGAGCTCGGAGACCGACAGCTCAGACCTGTCAAATGCTTGGTGAGTGCCACCAGGATACACCGGTTTTCTCTAATACAGAGGAAGAAGGCTCACTCTCGGTTTTGGCAACTACCTGAGGAACCCCTTGATGTCTCCCTCATGCACATCCTGGAACCAGGTTCTTCGGTCCCAGACGCTGCTGTGGAAGAGTCTCCCGTCTTCGCTTACACTGTGGTCAGGAAGCAGCAGGCGGCTGGGAGCGTGAATGCTGGGGCAGAAGTGGGCATCTCAGGGGAGATGGCTGTGTGCCAAGAGTCCTCCCTCCAGTACCGGATTGTTAGCACCCCGCACGAAGCCTGGGCAGAGCTTCAGAAGGGGAAACTGCCGGACTCAGAGCCGGCCTTCCTGAAGCAGTGCCGGGAAGCAGGGGTGAACCTGTATGTTGTGACCGACACCGTGGAGCTGCTCAACAGCCCCGTGCTGCAGGATTTAAGCAGCAAGAAGATCTCAGGGAAATTCTCCAACCCTCTGGATATTTGGGTGAAGGGTAAAGCAGAGGCAGAGGGTACCGAAAAGAGAGAGAAGCAGCTGACGGTGCCGCAGGGCTCCGTGCTGGCCTATAGGAGGAAACTGCTGGTGTTCCGCAGCAGAGGCTGGGACATTCTTCACACCGCAGACGATGGTGATCAGAAAACCTTTCCAGTAGGCTTCAGGTACATGGCAGATGGTGAAGAGCAAGGCGTTTCAGTATGCCACATGATACCTCGAAAGGATTTCAGGCTGCTACAAGTGGAGGTTTCCCAGAAGGTAAAAGCGGCCAAGCTCTCCAAGGACATGCAGAATGTTGTGTTCTCCAACCTCCTGGCCATGCTTAGGGACCATGAGGCTCTTCAGGACCTCATGGACAAGCTTGAACAGGAACCCTTCGGTCATTTGGACGGCCCTGGTGGCACCATCCTGACCGAACTGCGAAAGGACTCCTGCTATCCAGAGGTTGGCTCAAAGTGCCTCCTCCTTTACCTGCTTGAAGCCTTAATGGTGCTGAGTGACATCCAACATGATCTGCTGGCTCAGTCCATGGAGAGGAGGATCCTCCTTCCGCAGAGGGACCTGGTGGGGAGCATCCTGGAGTCCAACTTCAACTGCTTCCAGAACATTCCCTTTACCCTCCGGCCTGAGCTCCTCGCCCAACTCCAGGAGGAGGGCTTGGTCATTACCTATGAGCTGCTGGATGAGTGTGGCCTGGAGATGGAGCCGAACAGCCCCAGGTCAACCTGGGACCCGAAAGCCA